AAGCAACAAGTGTAGAGAAACATTTTGAAAGTGGCATAAAATGACAATTTTTAACGAAAAGTAAAAATTGTAATTGAAATAAAAGTTACAATATTTTAAAAAAAAACATATATCAGTTACAATGATTTATAACAATGTAATTACTTTGGTAACTGTCTGGATTCAACTTCTCGCTAATATTGTGACGCAAACTGGTGCCTGAACCTCATTGGCTCAAATCAGCTAAGATGCGGAAGAGCCTGCTCTTGCGCCTTGTCACAGAAAGTCCAGCGACTGACAATCGGCGGGCTGAACAAACAGAAGTCGGCTTAATATTTCAATTTATCCGTTTCCTTGTAAGGACCTCCACACTTGTGATCCTCCAGAAAACAAGCGTAACAAGCAAGGGGAAAAAAGGTATATGAAAGTCGGCTCTTCATTTTTCTGAAGGAAGATTCATTTAAACATGCTACAAGTATATAATAGCAAACTACATATTTTTGCACAATACATTGTGGTGTGTGTATTTTTCAAAATAATTGATTTATTATTTTATATTATATCTATTTTTTTGAAATAAATGAATTTGCTGTGTGTTGTGCTTTTCTAAATATGATGTGTCAATTTTGAAAATTCTTTTTTAATGATTTTTTTATAAAAAGTAAGGAATGCATACAGAATTTTCTGACTTACAAACACGTATTATAACTTATAAATCCGATCGAAAACTGAATAAATATTTATTGATAATTTTGCTCTAGTTAGAAGATAATTTTATTCTGGGAATTCCATGACCTCAATTGCTTAAATCCAAATTTTTATTCTACAGATGGATAGAACTTACCTTATCAAAATTATTTTTATTTACAAAAACAACTGAAAAAACATTATGAATTAAATGGTCTCCCTAACTCTTGTTGTTATAAGGTTTAGGACATTGTTAATATGTATAATATTTTCCTTGCAATTCACAAAATATCTGGCAATAAGCATTGAGAGAATTTAATCAACAATAACCATAAATTATCAAGGACAGTCTTCAGTATACTTATTAATTTCTTATGTACAACATTCCCAAGTGAAGGTATTGCTTTGGATTTGATCCTTACAGTTGATGATTGGACTAATTTTTAATGCACACATTTCATCATGAATGATGTTCAGTTAAGGATCTCCAGACCCACTCTCTGACATGTAGCGTCTGATTAATTCATCGACAGTGACCCATATGTATCCAATACTAAGTAGACCTTGTAAAATCATGTACCACCCTACAGTAAATTTACTTCAAATAAAAAAGTATATACTATTCACCTTCAACTAATACTAGAGAAGATAAATTATGTTCAAAATTAGATTACCTAATGAAAAAATAATAGCATTATGTAACTTAATGGAACTAGGAAGCGTGTTTTTAAAGTAACTACCATTTTTGAAAAAACTCATGATAATTTGTTTTTCAAAACAGAATTTATTTTTACATGAAATCTCTTAAACTCTTTTTCTATATAGTTGTTAACATTGTTCAGACATTTGTCATAGTGGGAAATCAACTTTTCTATGCCTGTGCTGCAATTTGTGAAAATACATCACAAAACAGTCTAAATGTGAACCATCCATTTTCACTAATATTGTCATTCACCTTTAGAACTATCTCATCATTGACAACAGGGGCCACCCACTCAGTCCTTCGTCATGAAAATTGATTTGTTTATCAATGAATTGTCTAACCCATTTTCTCACCATTCCATCACCCATTACATTTTCACCATAAATCTTTACATGATGGTGAAGAATTTAACATTCTTTGTATCCAAAAACAGTGTTCTGTGTGACTATTTTCACTGGTGGCATCTTTTTATGAAGAGGGCATAGAAAAGTCGGTTTCTTGCTGTATTAAATTAAAAATTGTTTAAGAAATACTGTTTCATGCAAAAATAAATTTTGTTTTGAATTACAACTGAGCAATTTTGAAAGAAATTTCAAATGTCTTAGACTTTTCTTAGAATTACCATTTTTAACAGGTTATATTTTGTTGAAATTAAAAGAAATTTCTTCCAAAACCATTCTACATTGTTTTTACTATTTACCTGGAAACAACATGTAATACAGAAGATTTTGTAATGGTATATTTATAATTTTAGTTTGCCAATGGCTTTGATCTTCGTAATTGTGGAATAGAAATCATGGTAGTGAATCTAAAAGCTAAAATGATATATAAGTGATAAATTTGAACTCTGTCTTTGATTCACAGTTAAGTTTTCTTACCAATTTTAATTGCAGCTGGATTGACATTCGGAGTAAATAGTTCCGCAGTAGTGTCAGTAATTTGGTTTGATTTATTTTTTGTCAAAAAACAGTAAAAACTATATAACTGGATAACACAATATAATAAGAAGATCATCTGCACATGGTTTTGCGAGTTCCAGAATCCCTTCCCAACATTTAACCATAAATAGTTGAAAAATGATTAAAAGAAAAGAATAAATATAATAATACAATTAGAAAAGGCAGGAGATAAGCAACACTTGAAAAACTAGACATTTGGTTCCTGAGTTATGGAAAACTTATTTGCATTGGTAAAAAAACTCCAGATTTGACTTTTCTGCATTGTTAAAAAATAGTAATTCACTCCCAGCTCTTTTCCTACCACTAAAAGCAAATGGAGTTGGCCCCGGTGGTCTGTTGGTTAGCAAGCTCGCTTTCCACAGTGCAACCCTGGGTTCGACAGCAACTCCAGTAACTGTTGCTGTGTGATGATGAGAAAGCTCAGTTCTTAGGTTGAGAATAATAGATATACAACACAGAGATAGCTATGTGCTAACCACATGAACCCCTTAACCCATGGCCGCAAGGGCGGTAAGGCTTAGCTCGTAGGCTGTAGCTTGCTGCTGGTAGGTCTTAACTCATCAAGAGTTGTAATGTCAAAGTACATACATACAAGCAAAAGGAGAGTACAACAAAACGTGCCCATGGTGAAGCTATGGTTTTACTCATTTAGGCTCTTGAACACATAATTATATTTTCAATGAAGAGAGACTTCGTCAGAATAAAGCAGTTGATTTAGAAGTATCAATTCTGAGTTTTCTTACGAATAAGAATTTTCCACTTTATTTAAATATTGTCATCATTAGCATTAGAAAGGTTTAAGCATCATGACCTTACCTTCTTATTTTAAAAATTTTATGTGCGGATGACCAGGTGGTACAAGCTGCAACCGAAGATGAACTTCAAAAAGTAGCACACAGACTAAACACACAAGCACTACACACACTACACTAAACACACAAGTTTATTTTGCCATTATGTTTAGTCTGTGTGGTACTTTTTGAAGTTCATCTTCAGTTGCAACTTGTACCACCTGGTCATCAGCACATAAAATTTTTAAAATAAGGTTTGTCTTTCTATTAAAAAGTAATAAACATAATTCCTTTAAATATTATACATTTACTTCGTGGTGACAAATTTAACCTTTTCTTCTAGGTATTTTGACAATGTTTCACACCTAATGTGCAACACACAAATGTTTGAGTAGGGTCCTTTCAGGTTATATTTCGCAATTACTTTTATAAGTACACTTGGTTTCTGACGTTACTAGTAGACAAAAATTGTAAAGTTGTTCAAAAGTAGGTATCACAATTGAAGACTTCCAGTCCTTTATATCTCAAAAATAAACTTCCGGCATCTCTCCAGAGGCAGGGCACTTAGTGTAAGTGAAAGAGAAGATATTTATGTTTTATAAGAAGTTTACTCCCTTAATACCTCCCAATCTATTTTGTCAAAAATACTGAACAATGCTATTTGTATTTTTATGGAATTTTATGCCTACAGATCAGAGCAATTCAAATTTTAATTTCTAATATTTGATACAAAAATTACAAAGCACTTTTAAAAGGATCTTTTTAACATTTAGATTTCTCATAGAAGATTCTCATTAGCAAGGAGGAAACAATGTACAAGAAAATTGTCTTCCGATGGATCTTAAAGCTTCTTGAAGTTGAGCAAGGTATTTTCATTAGTCTCAAAATTATACAATGGTTCTTCCCTCACTTCACATAATTTCTCTTAAGGTAGGCATTTTGCTTGGTGTGGTATTTTGTAATATTGCAACAAGCTATGCTTGGCAATATTTTATAATAATGTTGCACAATTGATAAATTGTCATAACTTGTAATTGTAATAAATGTAATAATCTGGTAACTTGTAATTGTAATAACTTGTAATCACAAGAATTTCCATTGCATATTGCAGTCTTTTCTCTTCCATGAAATCTGTGATTAATCTGTGCACTAATTCAAATCCAAATTTTATTCCATTTAATAGATCTGGGATGTTTAATAATCTTCAGAATTTTCTTCAAAGCTTCAAATTGAACATTCCACAAGTACAAACTTGCAATTTACCTTTCAATTAAGGTATAGGATTTATTAAAAAGGAAAATCCTATTGAATTAAATGTTATAAAAAGACTTTCTGGGATATGTTCAACATTAGAGTTCCTTTTACTAAACAAGAAGAAATTTAGATCTTAACCACATGTGCAAGGAGGAGACAGAAAATTTTGAAAGGGGACAGGTCATGTGTAGTGTATCATTTTTATTATTAGCAGCAGTAGTAGCTTAGACGTAGGAACTTGCTGAATGACATTGCGCAAGGCAGATTATAAATTCCAAAACCTTGGGCATTACTTAATGCTCAATCCTCAATCCTCCCCCCCCCCTTTTTTTTAACTTGACAGTTGGGGAAATTATACATCTTTAGGGAAAGAGGTACTGCCAACACAGGCACTAATTGTTTTATATAAAATCCATTTTATTCAGTTGTACTATTCGAGATTAATTTCTTCTTTTCCTCCGTTATTCATGTAGTAATAACAAGTCATTTGTAAATAAAAGTAATGACTAGGGACTCAGACACCCATCCCCCTCTATTTCAGGTTGTGCATGTCAATGTTGCCAACTTAAACCCTTTCAAACCACAAGTTCTTAACATTTTACCATTTTCTTTTTAAGCCACTATTGTGCAGCTAGTTTTCATGAGCATTTTTCAATATTTTCTGTTTAAAAGAAAAATTACACGTTGGAAAGGGAATGGACAAGGAACATTAAATGTAATTTTACATTCAAATGTGCACTATTCAAATTACAGTAATTTATTGCACATACAAATATCTGTACACATTGTACACTGATGTATAGAAACCTTCAAAAGCCCAGCGCTTTGAAAAATTCAACTTATTGCAGTTCACCATAACATGCAATCTTGTTTATAAATAATTCTCACCAGAAACTGCAACAACCGGAGGTACATGATATGCCAATTTACTCTGCATTAAAATTAAATATTCATTGTTAACTTTTTACAAGATTTGAGAATATGGCCTAAACCCAAAGAAAAACAAAAATTAATACATAGCACCACCTAGAAGTTACATACCATTCAGAAGGGAAAGTTGTACATAATTCTTCCAGTTGAATTATAATTGCCAACACCTCAGTAACTAAGCATTCACACATTCACACAAACATTTAACAAATCTTATCAATTACTTTGATACACACAAGACAGTCGACAGTGGAATTCTTTTTACAAGAATTTATCATCATATTCATAACATCAAAAATTATATTTCCCTGATCAAAGGGAAAATTAGATTCATTTTTATCTTTCACATTTACAAATCCCTAACATTTCCCATTCTTTCAATCAACCTCATTTACAGAGATTATCTCAAACATTGCATTAACATTCTATTTACAAATTGTTCATCAAGATGAATTTCACATTATTTAGCCTAATTCATAAAACCACAGCAAAGAAACTGAAAAGTATATGTACATACAAAAATAGATATCACAATCAATGTAAAGTGTTGTAGTGCAGATGTGATGTGAAGTACATAGCAACTGGATTGAATATTTGAACTTAAGACTAGTACAGGGCTACAGTATTCAGAGATGCAAACAGATGTCTATCTGCCCATGCACAGCATGGACACAAGTTAAGTCATCAAAAAATTTGCACTGACTTTTGCATGACAGAGCAAAACCTACATATAGGTCACAAAGTTATTTACATCAAACTAGTGCACTGTTCCATTTTATGATACAGTACAATATGCCACACATTAGTTCCACAAAATTTTACTGAACTTGTGGGAACTTTAAAATAATAATAAAAAAAAAAAGACAACCAAGAACTACATACTGTTCTAAAAATACATTAACTTTCATCTCCACCATTCCTTGTTTGCCAAGGTCACTTCCCTTTTCTAGAATTATTAATTTGAACAATGATTTTCAGTAATATTTCTTGTACTAATGCAATTCCAAGAATTGCCACAGCCTCGCACAAGACTCTTCTCTTGAGCTCATACAAGAGATATCAGCAAAGTGTACTTTGTTGTTCTTTCATTCATTCGAGTCTTCCAACAGTTCATTTCTTCTAGAACTTAAGAGCTTGCTTCCTAGAACCAAACCCACGATCATGAGGCATACATACGATTGATCTCATGCTGGTACCTCTCCTGAATATCCTTCCTCTTCAATTTGAAGGCAGCTGTCACAAGACCCATGTCTGGGGACCACACTTCAGTGCACAATTTGATGGCAGCAGGAACTTCAAACTTTTCCAGCTTGCCTGGAATACAAAATTTACTGATGAATATTTGGTCAGGCTTTTGCATTTTTGTGGTCAAATCAATCTTTAAAATTTTGGCACATGCGAGGTGAATTAATACTAGCACTGTTAGTGAAATAATCATAGCATATAAGGGATATTTTACATCTGGAATAAAAACTTTAAACCTTTTGATGAAAGATTTCCCTAATAAAAATTTCTCAGCCAACTAGTTGGAAGTAAATAAACAATTTGTCTGATTAGGAAAGCAAAAGTTTTCCAAATGTGCACAAATAATTTTTTCTCCTTTGAATGGCATTCATTTTAAGAAAATTCACATACTATGCAACTTACATTTCTTGCCATGGTCAACCAATTCTTGGAGTACTGCCTTCTCTACAGCAGAATTAGAACATAATTGCTCAAATGCTAGATCAGCCAGACCCAGTTTGGTGCCTAAAGTCTCTAGATGTTGTTGGTTCGGCACAACCAGGGCTACTGTGTATGTTTTTGTCGAGTCTCCGTAAACACAGATGTTCTCTACTAATGGGCAAGTCTTTAGCTCTGCTTCCACTTTGCCTAGCGACACATACTCTCCAAGTTGCAGCTTCACTAAATCCTTCTTACGGTCTGAAAACACGAAGAAGTCAAGCACAAACTTGGAATGGATCTTTCACATACATCAACATTATTGAACAAGTTGGTTAAGGTATCATGAGGTCTCAAACAAAGTCATCCTCAAAGAGGATATCAACTTAGCGATCAATTTTAACTTCCTTAGAGGTAAAAAATTGCAATAACAAAAAAAAGAAAATCCCAATACATATCAATCTAACATACATCCCAATACATCGCCCAATCTAAAATCCCAATACATATCTAATTAATTTGTGAGATTTTCATCTTTTTTCTCTCTTTTACATCACAAAAAATAATTATATGTACACAGCATGCCCATGTTCTCCAACCTCCTTCCAGCAGGATTATTGCACCAAGAACCAGTAGTTGCCCAAAGTGAACACAAAAGTTTATTGCTAACGACTTTGGGGAGGTGCAATTTGCATTTTAAACAGACGGGGTGGGAAAAAATAACAGCATTAATTTTTATTGGGGAGGGGGGTGGTGATATAAAATATTGTAGGGCTAGAATTTATACGAAATAACATGTATCGAAATAATACACTCGGGAAGCATAAAGGTTCCAAATATGGAAGAAAATTTGGATTAACACTTTATTATTTTCATCATTTTCGTAGTCTCTTAAAGTTATTTTTTAGGTATCAAAGAACTGTTTTCGTATTAGTGATAAGAAGATTTAATCATATGAAAGTGGACTGAACATTACTGTTTAGCAGAAGTTTTCCAATCATTTTATGATAATGTAGCATTTACAAAGCAGTGTGTTGCTAAGCACTGTTAAAAAAAAAAGTTTCATGTTTGAATAATTTGATCTCATAATACTGCATTCTTTAGGCTAAAATTACACTTATGACAGAAATTGTAAAAGATTTTATCTTGTGTTGTAATATTCTGTGGAGCTAAATTCAGATCTTGTTCCGAACATAATGTAGCATTTTAAATGGCACAAAAAGTTAAAAATAATCTCCTCGGAATAAATTTAGAGAAAAGTTTTTCCTTTAGGAAAAAGATGTGCTGTGTGGAGATGGGAGGTCTCTGTAGTAGTAAACTAAGCTTTCTACCATGCTGATGTATGCATTGCTTTTCTTTCATGTGCTTTGGAGCGGTCCATTGACCAATCGAGACCCCAAGTGTTAATGAGAGTCTATAAAACAAAGACTTCACCTACCGATGATTTTGATAACACCGTCACTCTGGACTTCACCAATGTCACCAGTGCGAAACCACCGTTTACCATCTTCATCAAAGAAGTCTTCTTTTGTCTTTTCTGGCATCTTGTAATAACCAGGTGAGATGTTTTCTCCTCCAATAACAATTTCTCCTCGTGGGAAAGGTTTGTCAGTGACACGGTAGTTACCTTCCTCCCAGTCTACCAGTTTAATGTCACAGACTGTCGTCGGTCCACCAACTCTACCAGTTGACCGGTCATGTCCTACAAGAAACAACTGTATAGAGAAGTAGCATTTTAAAACCAACATTCATAAGAGCCTACGAATACTTACTGTCCATTACTGTTGCACAAGCACAGGTTTCCGTAAGCCCATAACCCTGAGTTACTGTCACACACAGACACACTTTAATGAGTTCGTGAGTATCTGGAGAGAGGGGAGCTCCACCAGACAAGATGAGCCTCACCCGGCCTCCCACCAGCTGCCTTGACTTGCTGAACACCACTCTGGAAGGCACATCAGACAATATCACCATGGGAATCTCAATCCACCCACTAACAGTATGTTATTTCTACCTCGTTCCTTTGAATGTCAATAAAAATTAGACTATCAATAAAATTTCCACAATGTATTATTCTATTCTCACAATACATTAACTTGCCTATTAATAAGAGGGGTATCAAATCCCCGCTTCATCCATTTACGTCTGTATTCATAGGCAAAGTTAAATAATGCCCTTTGGAAAGGAGAACCTTTCGATACTTTGTCACTGATGCCTTTGGAAATGCGATCCAGAATAAGCTGAAATGAAGCAAATAATGAGATTCACATGATTTCAAAATCTTTTTTTACAGACCTCTCAGGAAGAAAGGGCAAATACTAACAGGAACAGATGTAAGGCAAGTCGGTTTCAAGACTGATGCATCACCCTTTGTACCCTTCTTTATTTTACTTGATGTGTCTATCATTGTCAAAGGAGTAGAATAACCTATCGACACTCCACACAGTAAACACACAGACTCTGCAACAGATAACAAATACTAATATTAAACCAACAGTAACAATTCACTTTGGAACAAACTTGAATCTTCAAAAATATTAAAACTTAAAACTATAATTAGTAATGATAATTTTAATTCCAATTTCCATTTAAAATGGGACCACAGCCAAACTTGCATTATTGCTCATTTGACAAATAATAGTAATTCAGAGGTGTTACACCACCCTCTTCTCACCTGCCAAAATTTCGAAGACGTGAGCCAAAGGCAGGAAGCCAAGGAATACATCATCATCATAGATGTCCACTGCATCTGAAAATGCTTGCATGCACCTTAGTATGTTTCTGTGTGTTAATAATACTCCTTTTGGTACTCCTGTTGATCCACTGGTGTACATAATTATTGCAATATCATCAGGACTTGGAGGACTTGCCTCTGCAAAAGAAAATTATTAGAAATCAACCATATAAAAGTTAAAAAATTGTTTAACAAAACAAATACAGCTTAAATATTTCATACAGTCTGTTAGAAAAGCATCTGACTTAATATTTTTTTTTTGCGAAAACCTGATTGATTTGCATCTAGCACACTTGCATGAGCCCATCTTGTACCTCCATGGGCATTAGTAAATTTTCCTCTTGCCTTTTCAGTTGTTGGTAAGCAGCATTTGAGTAATGCAGTATGTAATGCACTCTTAACAGAGTGCACATGAAAATTCGCGTTTGCCTTCAGAACATCCTGAACTCCATAAATAGCGACCACAACTTCATGACATCGGTTCATAAGGTCGGATACTTTTCTAACGGTTCCCATATTAAATTAATTTCAAAACTTTCATGCTTCCCTAAAATGCCAAATGTGTACTTCTACCTTCCTATTTTACTCTCCCATCTTGCAAATGAATTTACCTTTCTTGGAAGCGCTTCCCTTCTTTAATACTTCTGCGTATGGAATAATTGCTACACCTTCTTTGAAGCCACTCGTGTCTGTCTTTTTAAGCTGATCTTCCATGTAAATTAGCATTTGTACTTTCGGAGTCATGGCTAGAATTTTTTTGAATTTCGGAAGCAAGTCGTGGCTTGTGATAACAACTGAAACTTCAGTTTCGTTTATTCCATGAGCAATTGCTTCTTCTCCAAGGGTTGCATAAATCGTCACAACTGCAACAAAAGACAACATTATTAGTAATTGTGTCCCTTACTCACTCATTTGTTAAGATTATAGTTGAAATCAAAATAAACCACGAAATATGAGTTATATTTTATCATAGTTTGCATTGGTTCTAACAGTAGTTGTTTGGTTCGATTGAACATTTTTAGGAATGTTATGCCCTTGTTGAAAATTAAATAATTAGCTAGGTTGGACATTATTCATTACAAGATTTAAGGCAATTCTCGAAAGGTAAACTTTGGAAAAATTCCATTATGAAGCACCATATTCTAGTACAATTACTTAGTTCTGAATGAAGAATTCATAAACGTTACAAACTTTAAAAACCAAAGACTAAAACTAAGTTTTTCTTTTGCAATATAATTTAAGAGCATTTCCATATTAGGATGTGGCAAATTAAATTTAAATGGCACAATAATCTGCCTGGTTGGAATGATTCAATCTTTTGAAGCCCTTCACACTAGATAATATGCTTCAGTAGCAAGAACACCCTTAATAAAGGCTTTTAAAGATCTTACAATCAGAACACAAAATTTAGTTTTATCAGGGAAAAAGGTAAATAATTTAAAGACATTTTGAAAGTGAATAAAAATTAAAACCTACATGAATTAACCATTGTCCACACACATTTCCGCAAGACCTTATTCCATTAGTTATCAAGTTAATTATAACACAGTGAGGACTTCGGATATTTCAAACAAGTCTATTATATCATTTCTGTAGCTCACTTTCGAAATAAAATAGTTGTATTCCATGGGAGTGAATTTCTGGATATCACATTTTCGGTTCATTTATTCATTTGTTGGCAACATTGATTCAATCAATGTTGGCAAAGCAATGAAGTAGGGATTCCAGATCTGAAGAAAATGGGTGTGTAAACAATATTTACTGCAATGATTATTCACTAACACTGTGGAAAGTCATAGACACAATTTCCTTTATATTAAATTTTACTCAATGGTTTGGAGCGTCCAAAATTTTTTTGGTTGGCTATGCCATCCACGTATTCTATCAGCCAAAAACTTTTACAATCCGTGCACATTTTCTTGAATGTCCATTTTGCCAGGTGCACAGATATTAGCGGAGGGAGGAACTATCAAATGATTTCGACTTTACCGATACAAGTAAAAATTTCTTTTCATCAATATTGGCAAAAAAATACTATATTTTACTCATAATACAACTACACATATAAATTAGGGGCAGTAGGCATGTGGAGTAGAGCTTGCTTAAAAGATCGCAAATTATTCAAATCAATTTTCTAACGAGGACCGAAGGACGTTGCCTTCTGAAAGTTGTACTATCTTCCGGACAAAACACGTGCGAAGAGCGCCGCGATTTACGGGCGAGGCCAAGAACTTTAGGCGACGTCCGTATTCCTCATCTCTTCAAAGAAGCGATTCGGAGCGACTAGATTTCCTGATTGACGTTCGAGTTACTATTTCGTGTTTCCGGGGGAGTCATTACTTTGATCATTAGTTCCGCGAGTATGGTGCACGTTATAGCTAGCAGATCCTGATCTCCCACTAGAACTAGTCCTTGGATGGATATGAATCTAGTTATTCAGCGATGTGCGTGTTCGCGTGAGCCCCTCTAAGCCTACGCGCAGTCAAGGTACACTGCGTAGACAGAAGTGATCTACTCAAAGTATCTTCTTTTGTGGAGCTTTGTGACGGCTCTGGTGATTTTGAACTCCCGATTGGATGGCAGCCTCACAGCTGACAACCACCTGACTTAATTTCTTAATCGAAGAACAAGCCACAAGTCCGGTACTCTAGATAGAACGTGAGATCCGATACCGACCTACAGGGTTTGCTGGGAGGTCACACCGTCCCATCCGAGACCATTGGATATTTTGTTAGTGGCCAATGACATTGGGTCATTGTTACTCTTCTTGCCCTAAAAAAATGAATCTTAATTCGCGAACGTCGTTCTCAACGAGGCTCGTGGCCTCAAATGTGCTTCCTTCAGACCTAGATACAGAGACTAGCGCATTCCTTTGAATCGCTGAATCTGCCATTTTATAGCCATTGAACAGTGAATGAGTTCGGTACCTCCAACGATCTACCGAAAACAGATTTTCCATAATGCCTTCAGTTGTCATTTCTTCTAAACTGCTGAATCTTGGGTGGAAGAATATCAAATTGCGGCGGCAGATGGGTTCGTGGCTCCAATTGGTGCTGTGCAGAACGAGCGCAACCTAAGTGACTACAACCCGAGCACTTCGTTCAAATTGCCAAACCAGTCGCTTGCAGCCATGTAGAGAGAGCGAAAAGTATTGAGAAACTCATTTTAAAAGTGGCATAAAGTAAGTATTTTCAACGGTGGCCAACCAGAAATCACAAGTGTACAAGATTCAGTACCCAAAAGAAATGCTTGATATGCGTGTTTCAATGACTTAACAAGGTGATTGTTTTGCTACCAGGCTGCACTGAAAATTCCCGCTAATATCGGGACGCAACTGGCCCCCGAAACTCGTTTGCTGAAGGGAGGGCGTCTGGCTCACCGGGGATGCTCTGCTTGAAGCAGCCGTGCGCGGCGATGAGCCACTCGGCGCGCGTCTCGGCGAAGATGACGATGTTGTGCCGGGGCGACTGGCCGAGCTCGCGCAGCCCGCGCCCGAAGTTGGCGGCGATGCGCTCCACCTCCTCGAAGGAGCGCCAGCGGTAGTCGCCCAGCAGGTACTTCTTGAAGACGCGCCCGTTGGCCTGCGGCTCGTCCTCCTCGGCCAGGATCTCGCGCGTGCCCAGGCAGCGCTTGGCGCCGTGCACGCGCGCCACGAACTGCAGCATCTTGTCCAGCGTGTCCACGCCCTCGCGCCGCAGCCGCACGTGCATGGCGCGCGGCGCGTCCACGCTGCGGTACGTCACCGACCGCTCCTCCAGCGCCACCGGCTCCGCCTGCAACACCCAGTGCAAGCGATGCGACTCCGCGCCTACGCATTCCCTCCCCCGGCTACGAACCTCCCACCTGCGAAACACCCCCTCCCAGATTGCTAACTCCCGACCAGTCTCCCGAAATGCGTGGTATACCATATATTTAGTCCTTTGCAAGATCACCTGTTACACGCCATCAGACCCTATGCTTATTTCTATGGCGCGCGCGCGCGTGTGTATGTTTGTTTGTTTAAGGGGTGAAGACAGGACAAGGAAGAGAAGTGAAAGATCACGCACGGTCCGTGGCCACGGAAAACTACCGATCACAGCAGCCGCTCTAGAGTTTTCCACCAGGTAGCGGCTGAATTGCATCTAGCTACGTAGCTAGGGTAAACAATTCCACCACCGTCAGGACTCAAACCCAGGACCTCCCGGGCAAAGGCACTGCAGCGAAATCAATTGATGCTCTGAGCCATCTAAGCCAGTCTTTAAATTGCATGACAACCATTAATTGTGTGGGCGAAGGTACTATAAATGGATTTTTAAGAGCTTTGGGCCATTTATAATCAAGTTTACTAGAGGCGTACCGCTTAGACATCTTCCTACCCTGAACCAAACAATTGCTTTCCGAAGCAAAGAGTTTGCATACCGTCTCCTAGATGGAAGCCCAAAACCACCAAGGCACTGCGGCGCATCAATTACGCGTGCTGGGCGGGAGATTCAAAACGACGCTCCACTGGACAACGGTGCTCTTCGAGTTCTCTCTTAGCTCATCGCCTATTTTAGGTTTCTCGGCGTGCCAACTTCTCTAGTCGTTTGTTCTGTAGGAGCAGTGCATGCTATATCCCGAGGGGTGGCAGTGTTCCCACTGGTGCGTAATAACTGGACCAGAACAGTCGATTAGCGGGTTTTCACCTCACGGTATATCCGTACTGCGACACCACCCGCGCGACGGGACAAGCTCTAAACCCCGAACGGCCTTCGGACATGTCATAGTGCAATGTGTGCAAGACAAAGGAATGCAAAGATGGGGGATGAAAGAGGAAAGGTCCGTGCCCCGTTTGTAAAGGTAACTCTCTCAGGCACCTCTAATATGAGTATCTATTCAGGTAGTGTAATAAATCCGCCTTCGTTAAGACCAACCCCAGAATCTCCCGATAAGAGACGCTGCAATGACAACGTTTCTTAATAATATAGTACCATTTGAACATGCAAAATAGTTATCCTGAAGAAATTTATTATCCGCTCCAAGTTCGAACTCTTATTTTGGTTTCGCAAGAACTTAACTTGACAGCAAAAGGAAGATCAAAATCTGCAATTTTCGAAAAGACAGACATTTAAATTACATTCTGACATAAAATCCCAATATTAACGAATATTTCGTTAAGGAAACCACTTCAATAAAGTAGAAAGACGCTGAAAAAAATTGAACTTTTAGCAATTTTTTACAAGACAAAGATACAAAGGAAAATTGCAAATTGCAACCAACTTTGCTCCATTCGAAACAAATAGTGGCGCTACAGAATGGAACAGACCTTCTCGTATCTGCCACCTATTGGCACCTGAAAGACCTTGCCAGGCCTCGCGCTACCTCTGGCTCTCCACCTTCACTCTTTTCGGATGTCTCCGCGCTTTTACCATTTCCTGGTTGGGGTACAGCTTCTCGGTTAAACACAGATCGTACCCAGCTGTCTGCGATATAGGGAACTATTAAGGTGCAGGTGAATTTCGCCAGGGACTGAATGTCCCCATGTCTCAAACAACTGGAAAGGTTTACATCTTTGTGGCATTCCATCGCACACCCTTAGCGTTCACACACCTACCCCCGAGTGCCTCACGAACCAATCACTAGATCGTTTTCTAAATGCAAGATTCGATAGTTTCTTCAAATTGTTACAAACTGATCTGACGCGTTCTTCAATGGGCTCAGCAGCATTGAAACTATGTACTTCCACGACAGACACCATTAGTTAACATAGCTACAATGAAAAGAAAGTTACTTTAGAATCAAGATCTATTATCATTGCGTTCAGTAGGGACCAATTTTCTCAAAATTAAGTATCAATAACTTTTAGAACAATGTAGTACGTATCTGTTTACAACAGTTTGGTAATTTACTTTGAGCAATTATCTTTTAAAAACGCGTACATTTTTCGATCGCATTTTCTCATTTTTTTCGTCCCCTAAATAATATAATTCTAATGACTTTAAGAATATTTTAGAACAGTAAACTATTTTTACATACCACATTTCATTCAAAATTATGTTAAAATTTGTGTACATGTATAATTAAATACCCAATTGTGAATAACAAATTTTATCTCAAGAAAACATCTATCTCCAATGACGAAGTTTTGTCAGGGTGGCCAAGAAATTACAACCATTTGCAATTTTCGAAAACTGCAAGTTAAATGTGAAAAGGGTATCTTATTCTATTTCAACAATAAACTTCATCTTACATAAAATTTATATAAAACGTTTCAAATGCGCATGACCTCTAGGCTGGACAGATCGCTCGGGAAATATTCATTGTGAGGGAAAAAATAAAATGAAATAAATCTACGAATAGTTCAGGCGCTACTTGCTCAGACAGATGAACTGGCAGAAATTTTGAGATAAAAATGTGGACTCATATCGATACACTTTCATTCACAGTATTACCAAACTTATTACCACACAATCAGCCATTTTTTCACAAAATTTTGAATGTCGCCGAGACTCCATGTATTGTAAAGTACCAGTCACATTCAAAATATATATTTAAATTCAAGAATTTGCAATATTAAGACAGAACCACAAGAGAATTCAGGATAAAACTCAGTGGACTTATGCGCTAGTGCTTTTCCCACAGGGACGCACATTTTCCCGTAAAAAACAATTGATCTGAAAGACCCACAAACTTATTTTGAGTACAGAACGCGTTACATGATATTTACTAAACATAAGAGCAAGAATTCTCCACTTTTGTGGTACGAGGGACTCACAAAGTTCGAAAATCCCCATTTTCTGTCGAAAACCTCAATTTTTTTGCTGCAGTATTACAACACTTCTATGCAACGTAGCAGCAAGCGCGGAGAGAGCTGCAGTGGAAAGTAAGGAAAGGGGCCACTAACGCAGCCGGCCACCAACGCCTCCCGAAAGGTCAACCAGCTCGGAAAGTCTTGCAACAAACGCCATTTGGCGATTCCAACTGAATTAAAAAAAAATATCCGCTCACAATCACAGTTCACAATTCCGTCGCATTATCGTATCTCATTACACTGCTGAAAATACGTTTCTCCCAAGGAGATTTTCCTCCTCAGAACTTTTTCACATTGCGTTACAGAACAACGGTGAAGAATCGTGAAGTTCGTGATTGAGATTCCATTGCGACTATTAGCGTTCTACGAGGACGGAAGGTTACTGAGGATGAGGAACGATCATGGTCAAGTCGCGAATAAGCCTATTTATGTTCACACAAGCTGAAATGGTTAGATTAAGTCTGAAACGAGAACCGCTTCTGAGCAGGTTTCGTGGGTTAGCAGAATGTACGTAGCCAAAACGAGGTGGCTAGGGTAGGCGAGTTACGTTAAGTTTCGAAAAACGGATAATCAGGAATCCTGCTGTTAGATAGTAGAGACACTGAGGTTTTGAATTCCACTCCTTGGTAAAGTTTTATTTAATCATTACCACCTAACCTAACTGAAATCCGCAGTGAAGCGTCGACTGAGGTACAAAGTCCCTGTCTCTTCCTTGGCGATTTATATCAAACGACCTTGAGCCTGTGCAAGGCTTTAATTCCCGAAGTACCGTTGTTTTAAAATATTTCTCGCCAGCAAGACGCTTCGCGCAGCTCTTACTTTAATCAGCGGTCTCTGACAAACGTCAGCATTGGCCGGAAGTCCGAAATTACGAGTCTACCGTCATTCTTTGATCTTCATTTTACACCGTCCGGTTAATTCGCAAATTAGCCACATTTTGGACTTAACAATAACAATGAAACTAAGCAGGCCGGTCGGAGGCAAGACCGAACGTAAACATAAAAAATATTATTCCCGCTCAGCAATTCTGCCTTTCAGGGGTTTGCGAAGGTGCAATGGACACGCTGCGCCTGCAGAGCCGAGCAGAGCCCTGGCGTGGCGTGGCGTGGCCGGGAGAGAATCTGTTGGCTGCAGGGCCGCGCCGCTGCCACCCCGTCAATACGGAAGTTATTTTTAATGCTGCTCTTCGGACTGCCCCCCCCCCCCCCCGGCTGGAGGGCGTTACGAAAGGAGTTATATCAGGCGCGGCCACCTACGAACGCATGCACACCACTGGCGACAACTGAAGGTCGACAGTCCCAATTAATGTTGTTGAAATACTAATCGGAAAATAAAGTCCTTATAATCCACGAATCAAATATGATTCAAACTACGTCATGAGCAACTATTTATTTTAAATAAAATCATACTTTTGGTTTTATCAGTTTTGAATTCTGTTCGGATTTATCGATTTACACATAGGCGGAATCCAAGTCCCGTCCTGGACAGGCCACCGAAGCGTGTTAAATATTAACACCAAGCCATCGCGATCGTCATTGCCATACTTACTAAAACAACCCATATTAGCCTAAATTTAATTAATAAAAGTATGGCGCCAAATGTGTTTTAGTGCAGATAGTAGTTTCACTTTCTTGTAGTGACTGCACAAAACATGTTTCAACGTTACAAATAATATTTCTAACCTTGTCATATTTTATTTGTAAACGTTTTAGTTAAAATTTAATTTGTTCAATGTTCAAATTAGATGATAAAATATCATTCTAACAATCTTATATCATTTTCAACAGTAAACAAAATAAACTTCAAAAACAAAGCAAAACCTAATTTAAGAAAAAAACTTAAATCTTTTATTTATATTGAGCAGCCGGGTGCAAAGTAGAAAATATTGATATTTGGAGGAAATGTAGAGTATTCACAGGGCTACAACTTGTTTAGCAGTTTATGATTTGTCGTTTTGACACATTTTCTTACACTAAGAAAAAAGTACTTTTTCTTTTCTCCCAT